CTAGCGACCGACGACGGGAGTTGCATCTGCAAAATGCCCCGCATCGGTGCAAAGGCGCACCAGAGCGCTCGGACGTATGGGCACCGCACCAAACGATGGTCGTACGTTTCACGGGCTTGTGCATCGCAGAGAAGGCAGTGTCGAGCATCGGGGCCGAGAAAGTGCAAGCTGGCTCGGACGGCCACGGCTTTTAGCGCTACCCGGTACACGAAGTCACCGTAGCGTGGAAGGACGTGAGCTGGCTGCCGTAGAGGTACAAATGAGGCCGCTCGGCCCGGGTGCTCGTAGAAGGTCGCTGGGACGCCAAGGTGTTGCACTGGAAGCACACGCCAGTCAAAGTCCGGTCGCTGTCGGAAGCCGGTCAGTCGGACGTCCATAGTCGCCGCGAGGACGACACGTGGTCCGAACTTGACGAGCCATGGCGGGACACTGGTTGGACGCACGTCATGATCAGCAGGCGGGATGAGCTGGAAGCATCGAACGAGAGCGGTCGCGAGCAACCACAGTGATAGCGAGTGTGCTCTGTGGTGAAGATGAGCAATGATGAGCAACGATCTTCTTCCTCTATCATTCAAAACAAAGCGGATTTTCTCTTCGACTTCAACGAGCGTGGAGGTGGAAGCGCATGATGTTGGAGCACGCTAGGCCATCACAGAGCTTGATGCGCCACGGGTGACGAGGAAACGCTCCGTTTCCAGCCCTGTCGCTCGACGGCCGCGCCGTGATGGATGGTTGCACGTCGCCCAGCTGCAAACGACAACGCTGTGAGCCAAATGTCGACAGTAGCATCGTCGCAAGTGTCACCTCAGACCCGCGACGATCTGCACAATGATACTAGAGGCCTCCGTCACAGGGTTCCGAGCTTCCATCGCGACCATCCAATCATACCTCTTGTGCACCTGATTTCTAGCTTCATAGTACCATAGGTATATATATATTCTAACGCGATATTAACATGACACGACCAACGAGCTGCCGCGGGCTTAGACAATCACCTTGTCGTTGCTCTCGGCGACCGGCTCCAGGTATTGCGCGAGGAGCTGGGCCGTGGGGGCGAGGACAAAAGCAATGGACCCGACGACAAAGTTGTTGATGGCAAAGACCGAGTTGTCGGTCGCAATCGCCAGCGCTTCTTCCGAGTCGTCGGTCGGCGTGAGGAATTCGGGCAGAAAGTAGTAGCTGCCAACGATAAAGAGAATGTTGCCGAGGACGTTGAAGACAGCCGCAATGTACCACCACGCTTGGCCGCGGATCGAGCCGGCTTGGAACATGCGCGCAAGGTCAATCGCCAGCGCGATCAAGAAGCACGAGCAGCCCGTGATGAAGAGGAAGCAGCCGGCCGACGGCGCGGTCGCGTAGACCACCGGGACAAAGTAAAAGCCGCCAATAACAAACTGCACCGAGCCGACGACGTTCCAAAGCGAGCAGACGAGCGGGTAGAACCGGAGGCTCGAGGTGCCTTCGCACGCCTTGGCGCAGATCGCGTCCCAGCAACTGCCGATGAGGAACGTGAAGCACCCGACGACAAAGAGCCACGCGCCAATGACCGCGCCATGGCCTTCAATGTCGTAGAGGGTGTAGTAGCGCGGGTAGTACAGAATCGAGCCCGCAAGGAAGCACCAGCCGCCGATCCAGTAGAGACTCGCGGAAAAGTAGTATTGGAACACCTCGAGGGCCGAGCGCGGTGCGACGCCAAGGTCCGAGCTCGACTGGACTGGCGTGGCGAGTTGCGCGTGCTGGGTCATCGTTGGCTTGCGCTCGGCGAGGTAAAAGACAGAATGGTCTGCGATGTCAAAAACCAAACGAGTTGATTCGTTGACGTCGCCTGGGATAGAATTTGCGGCTGTCGAGTAATGGGTCTGGTGCGCCGAGCGACGGCCGAAATTGCCTTTTCTTTTTTCCATTAAATCACCCTTTTATGACTGTTGATAGGCGTTTTGTAAGAGTCCGTGGGGCTGAGTCACAAGTTCGTGCGTATCGTTGAAGGGACAGGCCAGCCCAGCTGGCGAGAAGTCGAGACCAGCTGGCATCCCTCTGCCTGTCCTCCGCCCGTACCTTGGCTACTTGTGGTTCCAGGCCCACCAGCTGCGTCGCGAGTCAGGTCCAAGCCAAATCAGCTGCTGGCCTTTGACGTGGAGCCCGTCCAGCTGGCGTCGACCCATTATGTGCTGGCGGCCATGGATTGGCTCAATTGACGCAGCTGGCGCGCGGGGCGGAGGCTGGGCTGCTTTTTTAGCCAATCAGATGGCGTGCGGTGCCCATCGCGGGCGGCGTGTCATCCGCTGGTGGTGCACGTAGACCATGTGGGGCCACCGGAAGATCGGAGCGCCTTGGACGCAGCACGGATTTCTGCCAAAACGACGCTCTCAGCGCTTCGAAAGGAAGCGACGGGGCTGCTATTACGCTCGACAATGCATGCGATGCGTCGTCAGCAGTGGTTCTGTGGACCGCAAACGCGGCAATACAGAGTAAATCGGGGCGAGTAGCGTTGCACGAGCCAGTGAGCGAGACTGTTGAAAGAAAGACATCGTCCACCAACGCACAAGACAATAAGACAATCGCCGAGGCTACGAAAGGGGCGCCTGCACTATACCAGTAGGGCGCGTAGAAGAGGCGTTCGCGCCACATCGCAAATTTCGACGACCCTGAGAAAGTGCACGGCAGCGTGGGTCGACAAAGCCACGGAGCCGTGATTAGGAAACGACCCGCCATACCAGCCCAAAGTACCAAACGGGTGGTCAGCGGTTCGCCTTTCATGTCCCGCACCGCAAAAGGTCTTTGGCCGTAGCGCACGAGGCAGTCGCTTAACAAGGTTACCACACCAAGGCAACGGCGCAGCATCTTCGTTTTGCAAGCCCCAGGGCGGGGAAGGGACATACATTTGATGTGGGTGGCAAGCCGCGACCCAAGTTTGGCGGCGAGTCGCGTGGCCACCCACGGGATCTTGGCAATCGCGTGGTTGCTCGCTGATGTCAACGACATTGACGTCGGACACTCTTCGCATTGTCCACGGCGAGGTTGTCTGACCGTGACTTGATGCCACTGGCCCGGTCGAGCGACGGGAGGAGCGCGTGCGATCTGACTGCGCACAAAAACTGCGCCTATGATATCGCGACGCTCTTTCTCGACCATCGTCGCTTCCGGACACCCTGAAGGCGGTCGCTGAGATGCTACGGGAGCGCCGCCATGATCTCGTACATGCAACTTTGGATGGAGCCGTGCTTGCAAGACGAGGCGGCCGCTATCCTCGCGGAGCATGAAGCTCTTGATCGGAAACGGCAACCTCGCACTTCTTTGCCAATGGCCTCGACTTTGTGAACGTTACCTGGCTTTCACGCCCTCCTCTCTCAACGCTCAGTGGTCGCATTCGATCCAGAGGAAGGATTCCCGACGACCATGTTTCATGCAGAGGTGCCTGTGTAGCCGCGCACGATACGAAGCGCTGGCTCGCACCATGAGCCTTGAAATGGACACGAGTGGAGCGAGCAGGCGTGGCTTCTAGGAGCCTCACGTAAGCGCACCGTCGCCGGCCGCTAAGATTCTCACGCCCACGGCCACAAGCTGCTGCGTGTGGTCGTGGACGTACTGGAGCTTTTCGAATCCACTTTCATCGAGCTATGCGCAACGAGCGATCGAATGCTCCCTTGATTAAGACCCTTGACCAAGTCGAGAAAACCGTACGACCTCGGCGAGGTGGCAGATAATCTGTACGACCTCTGGTTGAGCTCGAATGCGGCGTTGGTGGATTTGCCCGCTCAAGTACGATTTGAGCCGTACCTACCAAAGCCCACTTGTTCGGCACTTGGCACAGCAGACGCGATGGAGCTCGAGATCCATGTGCGCCGAGCGCGGAACTTGACGTTCGCCGCGTCCTCGATCGACCCGGCGGCGCTGGAGCTGCGCATCCAATGCTCTGTCAACGGAGACCTCCGGAGCAGCGGCAGCGGCAAGCGGTCCTCATCCAAGGGCTTTGACGGCTACGTCTGGCGCGGCGACGCCGGCGTGCTGCGGTGGCACCTCTCGCTCGCCGACTTTCGCCGCCTTAAGAGCATGCGCCCAACCGTCAAGATCTACGTCTTTGGCATTGGCGCCCAGGTGCACACACTTGGCTGGTTCTTCCTCGACTTGCGGTAGTACCTTCTTGGCGACTCATCGTAAATGCAATTAATTGATCGCCAGGACACCCGACACGGCGTTGCGCTGGGTCAAAATTCTCAACTCCAAGCACCACGGCGAAGTGTACGTCAAGAGCCAAATCGCCAAGGCGAGCGCGGTACCCGCGCCGGCGACTCCGCAGGCCCTCCCTGCCACAACCACCACGACCACGACCGCCGAGCACATGGCGCCCGAGTCGCCCGAGTGCTTGGTCGTCGGACCCATCGAGACAGCGACTGATCTCTTCCTCCTCACGATCACCTTGGTCAATGCGCGCGAGATGACGGCCATGATCACCAAACTGCTTCAGAAATCGTCGCCGACTGAGATCGCCGCTATCAAGAGCGCGGGCTTCTGGCTGGCGTACTCGCTCTTCGACGTGCTCGTGCAAAGCGATGCGTTCACGTCGCTCGAGTCGGCCGACTTTGGCCTCATCCGTGGCGTCTTTCGACTCCAGAGCTCGCTGACCTATCTGCGCGAGCACACGCTGGCGACTCCTTTGCCTCTCTTCCTCTGCACAATCGACCGCATCCTCGGGCGTGTTGAAGTGCCGCTACGAGCGCTCGCCGAGCTCGACTTGCCCGCGCACGCTGAAGGCAGCTACCCGTTTGAGCCCTCCCACGCGACCAAAGGTAGACACAACACGTGCCGCAGTCTCCTTTGAGAACGCGTAGGCACGCCGTTGGGCGTCGTGGATGTCGCACTGGATCTCGTGCTCGAAGCTCGGCCCAGCGTAGAAACCGCACCCGAGGCCAAAGCCTCTGTCACCGTCGAGCCAACGCCAAGCGTCTTCTACGGCAGCATCGACTATGTTGAGCTCCCTCATCGACAGCATCTGGACGCGGATGACGGCATCATGGAGCTCACCACATCGAGCTCGGACGAGAGTCTTCGCGCCCCGATGGTCGTGGCGGAGCACCGAGACGCTGTGCTCATGTGGACGGACGGACTCTCTTGGCTCTCGCCCACGGCCCGTGACGACGTGACCGTCACCGTTGGTGAGATGCAATTCCACGCGACGCTGCTACACGATGTGCGCTCGGCTGCGCTTTACGAAGACGATGGCCGCGCGGTGGGCACCATCTTTTACAGCTACACCTCCGAGACGCCACCGCCAGCGACGCTTCGGCGCCCCGGATCGCCACAGGTGCTCGTGCTCCAGGTTCGCTCGATCAAAGCCGGTAGTCACTTTGACGCGTCCAGTGCGCCGGTGCACGTTGCGTTTGAAGCGCCGCTCGTCGAGACCAAGGGCGGACCTCGCTGTGCGTTGCCATGGCCTGCCATCTCAATCTCAATCTCCAAACGTAGTGTCGACATCTCGCGTCTCGCTTCGCGCAAAAGAAGACGTTGACGTTGAGGCGGCCAAGACGGTGTTTTGCCACGTGCAAGCGTCGCAGCTTCAACGACCGTGGCAACTGCATCTCGAGACCGCCGCCCGCGACAGCATCGCCGTCGCGACGCTCAGCCTCGCGTACCTCGGTATGCTCAAGCAGAGCCAGCGTTGCGACCTCTGTGGCGAGGCTCTTGCAGAAAACACCGACCACCGCCACGACGACGAGCCACCGAGCGGGACAACCTTTACGCACTGCGAAGTCTACATACCGGCCGTCGCGCGCCCCGGCTCGGACACGGTCGTTGCCGTCTTGCACGTTGTTGCCACCTTGCAAGACAAGTACCCGATCGCACCGGTGTACCCGCCGTTGCCCGCGAACCCCCGTCCAAGCCCGTCAGCGCCTCGACAAGACACGCAGACCCATCACGACGACAATGTACAAGTCTCGCCGACGACTGCAATCGGATCAGCAGCACTTGTACCAGCCTTGCTGGCGCCGGTGCGAGAGAACGACAGTGTCTCGCGACTCATCCAACTGTGTAGGCGCCCACAACGACGGTAGCATGTACGTGTGTGGCGACACTGGCCACCGAGAAGCGGCACCTCGCGGAGAAGCAGCGCGAGCTGCAGGCCACGCACCACCGACGCATGGAAACCCTCGAAGCCGAGTGGGCGAGTCGCGAGAAAGATCGTGTCCAGACGGTACTCTCCGCCGTGATAATATAGTATGTGATACGACGCAGCTGCGAGTAGGTTCGCGCCGCGCAGCACGAGTACATGGCCCTTGAGACCGAGTTGCGCAAAACGTTGGCCGAGCTGGAGCAGCGCGAACGACGCCTCGCGCACGCCGAAGAGTCGGCGCGGCTCCAGAGCGAGCTCCAGAAGCAAGAGACCGAGGCCAACGAGCGTCGGGTGAAGCGAGAGACGTCGGCGACGCTGCAGAGCATGGAAGCGCAGCTCGAGCGAGTGCAAGTCGAGTTGCGGCGATGCAAGGCGGGCCGAGCGGGCCGAAGCGCGCGCCACCTCGCTGGAGCAAGACATGTCGACCGTCCGCGCCGA